ATGGCATTTTAAAGGTTTTTATCTCAAGGCTCATGGTGCATAATTAATATAAGTGTTGAGGTTTTCAGCACATAATAAGCTTTTTGAATGCCACACCCCCGGCCAAGTGGCATATATAATCCCTTTCAGCATATTCCACACCTGGCCTGTTCTGGGGCTCCATCCTAATTTGACATGTCAAGAATGCCTACACAGAGGGGCGTTGAGGAGGCGTCCTACTCAGATGCTTGAAACACCTCAACTTCCTTGACTTCTTTCAGTTTGAAGGAGCATCGGTTTTCCTTCAAGCATCCTCTTGATGTCTGAGTTCCACATACTGTCCCTGAATTCCTGACTGCAAATGAAAAACAAGTAAATATTCACTAAAGGGCTCCATCATTGGCAATGGCAACCTTGCACCAGTCTGCCCATCGATCTCACACTCCATCTTGTCCTCAATGATTCTAAAATAGTTTATCTACTTCATGTGGCAGCATCTTGGATACTTGGAGGTACCCAGTGTCATTCCAGCTGCCCCACATTACCCCAGGGCATGATCAGACACATCAACTTAACCTCAACTATAGTCAAAAGCATGATCGAACATGGCAGATCAGATTATATGACTTCAAAGTGTATCATCATAGGCCATCAATCATCTTGGCCTAAGGTGTTTTGTTATCGACAGTCCTTGACAGGTTTAATGACCCTAGGCAACTTTTTGGGAGACTCAAAGAAGGCCGTATATATTTTGAACTATGGCACATTCTCAGACACACAGTTGGACAGAGGTGATGCTGTTGTTCATTGGTGAAGACTGCAGTGCTCTGCCAGGGATTCATGAGTATCTCCAGAACAGAACAGTCCAGCACCTATCCAGGAGTTTGGCTGATGTTCAGGTGCATCGGTAGCCTAGGGGTTTAAGGTGCAGAAGAACCTTTGTTGCATGTCATTCCCTCTCACAAAGTTTCCTGTTACAAAGGGAGGAAAAAAATCCCCTAAAAAAAAAAACCCCAAAAAAGCTGAGGCTGTGTGTAGGGTTAAGGCTAGTTAGTGAATGGCACTGCTTTACACCCTACAGGAGCTCCCACTACCACCTAAAAGTAGCATTCCATGTCCCAAGAGTTGGCTCTGTGATCAGAGGTCAGTCCATCAAGTCCCCTGCCTCAACTGGCAGCACAACAGACCCTACACTGACTAGGCCCCACAAATACAGGCCCAGTTACCTGCTACTTGCCTGTGAGGAACTCAACAAGGCCTGGTTCTAGAAACTGGACCTGGTTTCCCTGATCTGGCACAGCATTGTAGGTCTTTGAATCACATTTAGTGTGAAACATCACCTAGCACCAGTTTGCTTTGGTAGACCCTACCAGCAGCTATTAACAACAGAGCTCTCATGGTCATGGGGACACATAAACCCCCGCAGAAATTGCATTATTACAACTAAATGCAATTCAGAGTATGCTGCTGGGAAATAAAAGTTGAGGTTGGATTGATGGTTATGTCAGTGGGATGATTCGGTACTCCCTTTTTACCTTGTAAACCAACAAACTACTAATATTTCGTGAGGTCAAGGACAAGGACAAGGCTGCTACAATAATATAGTGGAGTGAAAATGTGACCAGAAGGTCTTGTGAAGCAGTGGCAGGGGCTCTAAAAACAGCTTCACCGGGATACTTCGAGGCTGATAGACTAACAAAAGAATAACAGAGAACGTGGTTCATTCGGTTGGGACTGTCAGATTGACACAAGACAGACAAAAGGGAACAAGTGAATCAGTTCCTGAAAACAACAAATGGGGGATCAGTCTCCGAGGTGACTGCGGTGACAACATTGCCAGTACGCTTGTGTTGAAGTATGACAGTGACATTTATCCTCGGCACAGCATGAGTTCAATCAGCCAAAGTCTCTGGAGCATTCATTCATTTAATAAGTTTGTAATATGTATGCAGAGTATAAACTACACTGAAGTCCTCACACAAATTTAGGCTTTATCTTAGGCGTGCCATGCATATATGAGTTATAAGTATGGATTTAAGAGGGAAACATTTGGGAAAATTCCAAACACTGAGCCTGTGTATCCTGATAAGGTAATGTTTTTGTTGACCAAAGACAACATGACATTACAAAAGAACTGTCTTCAGATTTTATAATAACTCTTTGAGTCGACAACAAACAGGCAATGGAAAACCACTATGATACAGCATTTTTTTAATAGGAAAAAACAGATGGCTTAATTTACTTTTCTGTTTGGAACAGTAAGATAAGCAGAAGTGATTCAGTGTCAATTCAAAATGTGAAATATGCATGCAAAATTGTAGACTTGGTTGCAGATGAAAAGTGAAAATGTTTTCCATGCATGTTGGAGGTTCTGCTTGATAAATGACTCTTAGTGTGGCTAATGACAACCACTCTGTGTGCCATGTGAAAATGGGTGACATCAGGCTCTGGAAACATGATTTTGTGCTTCAATACCTGCCCTTCCTGGTCCAGAGTGCTGCCAACATTAGCCTGTTTCTGGATAAGGACACCACAGCAGAGGTCTGTCCCGAAGCTGGTCTCATAAAAACCAGCTCTGCACGCAGCACAATTTAGCCCTGCCCACCAAATCAAGACTAATTAAGTGCAAACCAACTACAGAAATTTCAAAGGGTAATTTACTTAAATTGGAGGAATTATTTCCAATGCCTGTGTTCTCCACAGACTAAAAACAGCTCAAATTTACTTTTAACAGCAAACAGAAACAAAAGCAGAGCTTTTGTGTGGTCGCATTGAGTAACTTTATTGAGATAGAAAATTAAGAGAACTGCTAAAATAAATGGGTGGTAATTCAACACAGGCAAAGCAATAACAAAAGAAGGAACAGATGTGTAGGCACCAGAGGTTACTAGTTTATCCTTTCATCTACTCGGTGATATGTTACATCAGTTTCTACACAGTACAAGAGGTGGATTAGTCTGCACAAAAGGTACCACATATTAAAGCACTTCTTGTCTGAACGGACAACAGATTTGCAATTGTATCCGACTGTAAGACTATCAGTAGTTAATATTAGTAAAAGGCTCACTACTGTGGGTGGCATGAGACCTAACACATTGTCATTGTGGCCTGGCTGCAAGACACAACATGCCCATTGTTTGTTTAAAGGGAAAAGTCAGACATTTTGGGAAAAAAATGCTTATTTGCTTTCTTGCTGAGAGTTAGAGGAGAAGATCGCGAACAGTGTCATATCTGTCTGGTAAATATGAAGCTACAGCCAACAGCTGGTTAGCTTAGTTTGGCATAAAGACTGGAAACAGGGGAAAACAGCCAGCCTGTCTCTGTTTGAAGGTAACAAAATCTACCACCTACCAGCACCTCTAAACCTGAAGTGTAGAAACGTGTATGTGTAAGACCATTTCTGGTATCAGTAGTTGGATTTTGGCAGAGCCAGGCAAACTGTTTCCCCCCCATTTCCAGTCTTCAGCTGCTTGTTGTAGCCTTGTATTTAACAAACAGGTAACGGTATATCATTCTCGGCAAAAAGGAGAGTAAGCAGATTTCCCAAAATGCCAAACAATAACATCAAATCTGTGCATGTTTAAAAAGTGTTAGCCCATTTTTGTAGATTTTCAAAAAAAAAAAAAGATGCAATAATCATTTCTTCATAAGCAATGCTTTGGGCTAATGTTTAGTCAGCACACAGTATGAAGACCCAGCTGGATATTATACGAGCACATGGTCCAAAATGTATGGCAAAACTTGAACACGGACATTAAAATTTCAAAGTAAATGAGTGAGGGGTCCCCGCGTCCTCGGGTGCAAAGGGATGCGCAGTCAGATGTGAGATCATTGCCTCTGACTGCAAAAGGGTGGAAAATGCGTCATCACAGGCCAGACATCAAAGAGCGCCAGTCCATAGGGGTTAACATCCAATAGAGGTTAGCAGAGGTTATAAAAACACATCTATAAACACAGGCCCCACCAATGAGCCATACTGTCAGTTATTACTGGCACTGTGTCGTCGTAATAAACTAACATTAGGTAAGAATAAGGTACATAGAGGCACCACATGCGCAAGAACATTCACACAGGGAGACACCCCAGAGGTGTCAGAAAAAACGAGCATGTCAACATTAACTTTTATTAGCTGATGGAAAAATGAGACTAATGGTCTTACTGAAGCTTGACAGAAAAGAGAAGTTTGTTGAACTTTAGAGGTGATGGGGACACAGATTGTGGCTGTTTTCCCTCAGCTTTCAATTAAAACAAATACCCAGAGAGACACATTACCTAATGAGTGTTAAACACAATATGAACCTTTGAGAGTAATGTGTTCAGACTTCTCTTCAGCTGCTGAGATTTATAATTACATTTTTTTTTAATAAAAGCATTTTTCAAGATACTCATAGACACTTAAGTTAAAAAAGATCCTAGATAGCTAAAAAAAACAAAAAAAAAAAAAAAACCTCTAAAAGGCACAAGGTAGCACAGAACGTTAAATCAAATATTTCAGGCCATTTGTTCACAAGCAAGCTTTATACTGACATTTAATAGCTGTACTTGAGCTTTCAATCATATCACATGATCTTCATTAGCAGATGGAGTTTGTCCGTTGTCATGGAAAGTTCCTTTTTTCTGAACACTTGAAGGATTTCTCATCCACGTTGACTTAGAAATTGAGTTTCAAAGTGCACACTATTGACATTGGCATTGGCATCTCAAGGTCAATTTATTAGGTGTTTTGGAGCTTTCAATCATATCACATGATTATTATGAACAAATGGAGTCTGATGATGATTGGAAGCTCCAGAATACCTAAAAACTGACCTTCACAAGGGGTTTTCAGGACATTAACAGATATCTTCATCACACAGCCATCTGTATGATGAACATAGTCATCCACTGTTTCCAAGGTACAGAACTATGGAAGTTACTGATACTGATGAGATGAACTAAAAATTATACTGTTATTGAGTTTAGTCTGATATTAGTTTTAGCAGCCACCACAGATATGGAGAGAGTATAACACTGATACAAAATGGTTTCCCAAAAAATACTTTATTTAAGAAGGCTTTGAGACAGATGAGCTAAACCTAAATTAGAAAAATGACACTTAAATGATTCTCTGTATATATACATACACGCAAACAATACAACCATCATTCTTTCTTAAATCAACCTGTTTAAAACAACTGTCGGGTTGCATTGGTCCACTGTATACCGACACAAGCATGATCACTTCCTGTCAGATATGTCTGACTCCATTCATTTCATCCTGAACATCTGGGCATTATCATTCCACTCCACAGCAGTCAGCAGCATTAGCTGACTCATTTTCATCCTGACAGTGACGGGTACGAACAGGCCCCGGCTCTTTCACAGCATCCTTCTTAGTCATGCAGACATCAGCTCTTTCTCTGGAAGCTGAACTGTCATCAGTGGACCCGGTGATGCCCCTGTCACTGTGTTTATTATGACTAGCATATTAACTGTCTGTTGGTTCATCTTTAATCACCTCCATGTCATTAGCGGGGCTTTTGGCATCATCGCAGCTCTTAACACATGAGGCATCTCCATTTTCTTCCCCCTCCTCTTTCTCTTCATCACTACTGTCTACGATCTCTCCGTCCTCTGGCTCTTCCTCCCCTGCTTCTCTCTTGGCCCTTTTCGCTTGTGGGGGTTTAGTTTCAGGGCTGGTCTCTGGGGTTCCGGTCCAGATGTTGGTTTCCCCCGGGGTGCAAGCCCCATGTAGGGATGGTGAAACTTGGGTCACATCCTCCTTCTCTTGGTACATTCCTTTGTTCTTTGTTGCAAAACCAGTGCAGGCTGTTGCAGGTTCAGCTGAAACAATATCACGCCATTTGTGTATAAAAAAAAGCATGATTAAACACGGATGTTAAAAGCAGTAAAATCTCACCAAGTCCAAACATATACACAAGTGATTAGAGTGGTCAGTTACACAAACTGGGTAGAGCACAGCTGGGGTCATGCTTAAACAGACATGGTGAGAAAGAGAAGGACAGTACAGAAAGTTTGTGAATGATGACGCTATGGTTTGGCTCCATGCTGGTTTCCAGGATGAGGCAACGTGCCAGGCAATTAGTTATGCAATAAAGTAGGGTGGATGTGTAAAAGAAAGGCTGCAGAAGAAACGACTGTAAAAACGATAATTGTGAATTATAAGCAATTACTGAGGAACATGATCTCCCCGCAGTACATTTGCGGAAAATTCACTTAAAACCTCAGACACTTTGGCCAATGCATTTCTGCCTTTATCCTAAAAAACGGTTATCCAGCTGAGCCTGTAATATGAAAGATTAATGTAATTCAGCCTTTCTACTTTTTTGCTGTAACACAATTAAAAAGCTAAACCTGCCTCCCATTAACCATTTATCATTGGAACGGACCATATACATATAAGAGTTTTGGGTTGTGTGCAATCTCACCTGACCACAAATAAAAATATAGGCCTGCTTTTGTCCATTGTTGACAAAAATTACAGATGTAAGCAAACATTTTACAGCATCGGGACGTGTCTAGGTTTTGTTTTTGCCCCGGCACAAGGGGAGCCAGCTCCACCAGGCGAGGAAGCAGCATGCCCAGGTACATGTGTAGGTAAATCCCTTCATTAGATATGTGTCAATAAAGCTTTTTTTTCTTGCGGATCTCTGAGTAGCATTAGTGCGATTTGCTGCAGTATTCACAGAATAACTTACACCACCCAAGTGGCTGGCAGTCGTGATGTCTCCACCATTTTGTATGGCCAACAGTGTCACAGTGGTCATTTAACCACCTTTTCTTACTTTATAAGATATATGCTATATATATATATATATATATATTTAGCTGTATAACAAAGCTAACTAGCTTAACTGTCCTCAGACTGGAGCAGACACCTCTGGGGCTGGGTGCTAGTTCGTCCAGTCCCACTACTCTGGCATGTCTGCGAACAGTAATGTTGTGTTGCTTCCGAGCTAGCATTGGTTTTGCTAGACCTGGCAAGCCAACAATGACAGAAGCTTTACCACACTGCTAATGTTTTTGGGGTGTGAAAGACTTCTGTGAAAAGAACTGTGGTAATTGTAGTCTGATTTTTGGTTAACAGGGCCATATTTTGTTCATGACTTATTAGTTCAACCCTTTCTCCCTCTGTGAAGCACTTCAAGAAATTTAGAATAGTAACATTAAAAGGCCATTTAACAAACCACACCCAAATAACAGCAATGTAATAATGCCATCAAAGAGATGCTGGCCCAGTGGCAATGAGGCTGAATGCAGAATACTGACCGGATGCATGCTGCATGAGTTGGAGCCTGCTGGACCCTCAATATTTTATTTTATCATCACTAGATATGCCACTGCCAGTGTTCAATTGCTCTTTATCACTTCCTGCCCAGCTTCCCAGGCAACGGCAAGTGCAATTATCAGATGTTTCTATGGCTAACTTTTTTTTTTTTTATCAAAACAGTGTGGCACCAAGGCCTTATCACTGAAAACACACACACACTCAGACTAAAATTACCTCATTCGTCATTCAGCCGGTCTGGGTCTGACAGTATAATGATACTGGGTTAGTGTGGTCTTTTGTGACCATACTAACCGTAGTGAGATATACAGTTAGACTGCACTGTGAGCGATTTGTTTAAGATATGCAGTCCTTCCTTGTCGTGACTGTACATGGCCCCAAACATCCGGCATTGGTGCAAAACAGGTGAGAAAAACCACAGGCTGACCTCCTGTTTTCTCATCTTCTGTCATTTCACAGCTCATGAGGTCACTGTTTAACAGTAAGCCATGTTTGATCCTCTTTTTGGACACAGTCGCTGTTGAGGTTAAGTTGGTGTGTGTGACACTGTGCAGAACACCCTCATTTCCGTTGGGGTAGCATGTTGCCATAGTGAAAAATAAGGGAACGGGGAGTCTTAAAGTCTCAGCTTGAGAAACCAGAACATGATACAATGCTGTTGGAATTGGGGAAGTGAAGAGGGGTTGGCGTTTTGGGACTACGTGTGGCTTTGACTCATGTCATACATCCACCCATTTGTTTAGTTACAGAAAACATAGGTGAAAAAGGAAGCTGAACACAGTGATGAAGAAAGGAATTTTAGCTAATAAAGCATCAGTAGGTTAGTGTTGCTGCAGAAATTGGCTTAAAAGCAGGCTGTCATGACATTTAAACCTGGATAAGGGTGTTTTTTGTTTTTACCTGGTCCTTTCAGTGGATAGTCCTTCCAATGATCTCTGATTACAACGTGCAGCACAGGATATTCAATCAGTGTTTTGTAGCTCAGGTTGTCCCTTAGGCTCTTGTGAATGTCCAACTTATGGTACCTATTTCAGAAACAAATTGAGGAAAAAAAAACAAAAAAAACACAAAGGACATGATTACAAGACAAATCAGTTACAGCATGCTGTGTAAATTATGTGACATTAGCGTCATTGTATGTCATTTGAAGTATTTAGGTGTTAGGTAGCAAAAAGAGATGACCACTGCTGCTGAAACTCTTTAAATTGCAACCGTAGCACTTTATTTCCAGCTGCCTGTGGCACGTTGATGGCGGAGAATCTCTTGAGGATTGATAGAGATTTGAGTCATGGCTTGGCACAATGAAGATCCTGCTCGGTGTTCGTCTCGAGATGGAAACTGAATTTACCGAGAATCAACATCTCTCACAAGCACATGAAGCGGCTCCCTTACCCCTCCTTTAGCTCTTTGTATGAGATGACATCAGTCTCGTCTTGTCTCTAAGTAGTCCTGTCATGCATTAGGGATGGTCATAAATCACCAGACTAAATAGTTAACTGGATTCTTGGGAGACATGGCTTGCCTCTACACTCAACCGATTCAGAACCATCCAGCTTAGGCTGTCATCACCAAAATACCGGGCATCATATATTTCAAATATATACAGTAACTGGCTCCATCCCCACCAACTGTAAAACCTGTGCCAGACTGAAGATTATTGAGCCATTGTTTGTTTTGCTAAAAGCACAAGCAGACTGAGAACCGCCCAGGTAGACACCCACTCCCCAAAGCCAATCAAAGCACTGTGCTATAATGTGACATTTACAGGTCTTTACTGGCGGGCCAGCTTCCTAGAGGCCCTCCCTCATGGAAGAGTTCCTCTTAGGTGGGCTAAAGATAATTTCTCATGGTCCCACAAATAAACTGCACTTCCTGCAGGACAGGACAAGGGAAAGAAGTGATAGCCTGTGGGTCTCAAAACACACAGGATATTTCTTGCCACAGTACAACACAAATGGTTGCATGGTATTCCTGGCACATCTCCACATCAGAAGTGCAGAAACAGCCAAAGTAAAGATGAACATGAGATTTGACACAAGGGTTGGAAGAAACTAGGGTAGAAAGAGAAGGTACAAACAACAGGGTCAAAGGTTACGCAGTGAAACCGGTTTGTAGAGCTGGTATGGGCAAAGTAATTAAAGAAAATCAGGATATCTGCAACAACTGCATCCATTTGAAATGTGCATGCCAGACAAATACTGTTTCCATTTCATTTGTTTTCATGTCTAACTTGTAATAAATTAATGATCCCGGATGTTTTTTATTTTTGTAAATATACAAGCTAAACTAAAACACAAGTGTTTGGTAAACAACAGTGAAAGACGGGTAGATGGCAAAGCAGATTGCGGCTCCCTGTGGTGTCGGTAGGATTGTTAAAGCTCTGGCCATTTCTAGAAACACGGCTGGATGACTCAGCCAAGAACACGCACACATCTGGTCTTTATATAGTGTTCTAGTGAATGAACAGAACACAGGGCAAGACTGATGTTCTCTTCAGGGAGGTTCCTATTGTTTTCCCCTCCACTGCTGAGACCCATCAGCAAGCATAAGGTAAGGTGCAAGAACAAAGAAACTACACATATTTTGATACTGAATAGGCACCATCGTGATAACAAATAATAATGTTGAATATAAACTGGATGTACCCATGGCTGTCTACTGTGTCTCACTGTAACATATTAAAAGAAAAATGTTCTTGTTTTGGTTTATGTTTAATTTGGACGGTGTTTGCTTGCTGCTGGCTGCAAAAGGCTTCCAGGATCCTTCCTTGAGAATTTCTTATGTCAACTTATTTTGTTTTTGTTGTCAATACTGTCCTAAGTGTTACGGGTCCTTATGTAATGACAGGCCAGGTCCCCATTTATAAATATTGTGAAGGCACAAATCAGACCTTGGAAGATGTATTAACTGCTTCTGCCAAAGTTTAGATGTATAAAAAACCAAAGATGATGTGAAAATGTGCAGATCTCTGAGATCTGTTGGCCAAACGAGCATATTTTGGACAAGAGAAGCAGTGAATTTATGTAACACATTACAATAACATTGCAGTTCATTATGAGCGCAATATAATCTGATGCTAATGCCTTGCTATTTTAGTAACAGTACCCAAAACCAATCCGGCGTTGCAGGAGACCTGAGGAAGCATCTGCTGCACAGAAACAAACTTGAACATAGCTTTAGGGCAAGCTGAGGGAGAGCAGATCGGCAGGCTCAGGAGGGCTAAGGAGAGGGTTTGCCACAAATATTTGAGAGAAAGAACTGCCTGGACAGGACAGAAACATCACTGTCTGATGGGTCCACAACACTGGTAAAAAAAAAAACTGAAACGCCACCACACAGGTTTCCTTTTTTGGCTGCAAAAGTAAAAACAGCATCTCTACTTCTGACAAGTCAACAGGCGTAGATGGTTCTGTGGGATTCGGCTGGCTTAGAGGAAAAGAAGAGGTAAGGGAATGGAGGAAAGGGCATCCACTGGATGTCAGGAGTGGAATGAATAAAAAATAAACATTAAAAAAATAACACAAACAAACATCCAGAGGAGTGTGAATGGTTCTCTTGATGCACAGTGTCTCCTTTCCAGTAAGAGAATGTTGACTGGTTACACAGTCATGTTTAGTTTAGCACAAGAGCTCCTTTATTGGAGTGGGTTGATATTCCAGTAGACATTCAATAACAAAAACATGAAGCCATACCCTTTGTGTTAGACTTAGCAAACAGCCTCTAAGTAGCCATGTCCACAGCTTCCCATGACTTCATAATATTAATAATACCTTTTAAAATTAGGGGCTTTCTTCAAAGGCTGCATTATACAAAAACACGGAGGCCCTTTGTGGCAGCAATGCTTTGACCTTGTTTGGGACCCCTAGAAACAGATTTGACCTCAGTGTGTAGTGGGCCTCTTTTCTTATTAGAGCTATATTCTGTGGCTATGGCTGTGGCTGTGGCTGTGTTATGTAACTGCATCTAGTTAATGTTAGGTAATTCCCCCTTGAGCAAGCATCCTAATTTTGTTCTAAATCCATTCATCCAGCCTCAATAAAATGTTGACAATAAAAACTTACTTAGAATTGAATTACAGACTTAACTGTCCTTTATTATGCACTCTTATACTATTAAGCTCTTAAGCTATGACAGGAAAAGGTTACTGAGAGAGTTGAAAGTGAGATAAAGACAGGGAGATTTATGCACCTGAACTAGTAATTATTGCAGTCTTGACAAGTCAAAGTCAAAACATGGTTTCCCCAAAGACTGATTTACAACATACTGATTCAGTGAGTATCAGGCTAATAGCAGTCAGGAGTCATTCATAAAACCTTTCTCTGGAAACTGCTACATGAATGATAGCAACTCTTATGACTCATTTATAGTGCTGTACCTTTCCACCTTGATGTGATACCACGCCCTTCACTTACACAGAGGAGCTGAAAAAAACAAACAGGTGGCTACTATAAATTGGGAGATCTGCTAGAAAATAAAGTGGACAGAAAAATACAGTGAAATATGGCCGGACATTTAAGTTCTTGACATATACATCGATCAGCCATAACATTATGACCCCTCGGACACCCTGACTGGTCTGGCCCCGTACGCAACAAACTGTGATACACTGTGTGTTCTGACACCTTTCTATCAGAACCAGCATGAACTTTTTCAGCAATTTTAGCTACAGTAGCTCTATATACTATTAAATATTAACCATAACTGTACCTCAACACAGAGGAAATAATATGTTACGTTAAACAAAGCCTGAAGGCATGTAAAAAGCAGATGTCAAATCCTATTTGATTTATTTTGCAATTTTGTTTTTACATTTCCAGGCAAAAGAAGGGGTTGACATGCACAGGAAACGCGTCTTTCAATGACATTAGTAATGGGTTATATCTTATAGGCACATATAGATCATGTCTATTTTAAGGTAAAGGTAAATTTCCTGGTCCTACTTTTTGACAGGCTGAACAAAATTAGGACATGTTCAATGAATATTACACCATGTCTAGCACTGAGTCACTCCTATGAACACTGACGCATGTGCTAAAATCTTAACACATCTGAACAGTTATTCACACAGCCATGCATATATATTCATCACTGCCATTGATGGACAGAAGCATTAATTGGCCACATAGGAACATAAACTTTGCATGAAAAAGAAAGTTCAGGGTTTTTTGGATGAAAATCTGCAGAAACTTTCTGCACCAATGAACCTTATATATTGTAATTATGCAGTGTAACAAACTACCTTGTAATGACTGTCATTATGCAGGTGACACTGTAAAGGTGTGTGTCATGACATCGGAGATAATGACACATTTAAAAATATTCAAACTTTCATTGAATTCATGTAAGGGCAAAAGGTGACAGCCTAACAGCGTATGCTAAATCCCATCTCTACACTCATCTTTCAGTAATTCCTCTTTATATGCTGTCATAAAATATAATTTATTTGCTTAGAAAAGCGTTGGCAGCCCAGCCCACTGGGTAAAACAAAAGGCGCATGTGTGTTTTACAAGGATGAAGGATGGGATGGGAGGTTTCATGACGTTTCATGCTGGCCAGGGGGGTAATGATTATGAGCACCGAGGATCATCATTCACTCCATGACTAAGTGGAAATGGAGGGCAGCCAAACAATCCAAAAGTAGGCGAGGCAAATGGGTGCTATCAACACCATCCCCTGACCACCATGGGAAAAAAAAGGGCACACAGGACAGAGACTATGAAAACAGAGAGCGAGTGAGAGAGAAAGTGAAAGAAAGCAGATGGAAGATGTAGATTAAAGATGTGGAGAATATTCTTGATCAATGGCATTTCTCAATGTTGGAATCAAAGTGAAAAGGGGAGGAGAAAAAACCCCCATAAGGCCTCACTGCCAAACGTCTGTGTAGCTTTGAAGGAATTTACAAGTCAGTGATGTCAAGTTCATAAACAAATTATGTCAATTTCATACACCTTGAATAAATCAGTCATGACTGGCAACTCCACTCGAACGGTCAGAAGAGTCACACAGACAGGATGCCTGAGCGATGAAAGGATTCTGACGCACTTTAGAAGATTTAAAAAAAGGGCCTTCCATTTAATCTTATCCGGAAAACTCAGCCACACGTCTTAAAATTAAATTATATTAGTCCCTAATAAATGGTTTACTACTTTTGTTTTCTTGTGCAGGGCAAAATTTTTAACATCTTCGGCATTAGCTCCACTTGTTTTGACGGTATACATTTTTGTTGGTATTTCAATAACTACATTGCAACTTAGTGATACATTCTTAAACTATGTGAAGTACAGCTGTATATATGGGACCAGTTTTAGCTTACTGCAGATAGGTTTGTCAGCTGATAAGTAACAACAAACAAACTTAAGATGTGACTATATGACAATTTTATATTTTTAACCATCTTCATCTTGCTTGTCTTTTCAACATAGACGAGCCTAGCACATAGCATATCTAAGCACCAAGAGGGGCAGGTCAATTCCATAAAGTGGGTGAGTCGTAGTCGGAATCAAGGACATATCACATTATATTGATATTGGGAATGGACATAGTTAACCAGTATAAAATAAATCTCACCTCACAGAGTTAGCCTTTCTCCCCTCTGCTTTCATGAAGACTTTTACTTGATCAAATGGAGTGTGCACATACATCTTCAACCTGAAACAGAAATTAATTTCAACACAGGAGGATAGAGACTGAACTCCTAACCTAATCGTTAAAAAGGACAATAAAAAAACCACATGGGAACTTAGACTGTGGAGAATTTCCTAAGGTGGTTAGCATAAAGGTCAAAACACAAAGAGCTCATTCAGTGTAGTACAGGACAGACCCAAATGTACACTTGTCTGGTATGCTGACTGATAAATGTACAGGCTTCTTGTGTAAGGGACAATCCTCAATGCTACTGACAGCCACGGCACCTGAGCCTGTTGTAAACAGCCAGCCAATGGGCCATGGAGAGTTAAACCCCACTCACTTGAACCTAGACTAAGCAAAGTTGTGTTTAAATGGCTGGCACTGAACCAAGTCAGGCATCTACTTTAAAGAGTTGCACTGGTCTCCAATATGGTCTCACTGTAGGTTCTACAATAGACTGCTCACTGCTGACTGTTATCAGTACAAAGGTTAGGTCAGAAGAGTCAGATCGCTGTTCTGTTAGAGGTTCAGATTAGAAATACTGAGTGTTCTGCAATCAAAGAGCCTTCCTTGTTCAAAGACTGCAGTTCATGTTGGGAGAAACACGAGCCTGGGAAATTAAAAAGAAAGTGAAGCAAGAGCAAAATTGCCAAGATAAATGCAGGAAAGTAAGATTGTGGGAATTCGCCATAACATGGAGAGACCTCAACCAAATCCTGTGTGGCTGATTGGATTGAGTTGGTTGATATTAGAAGATCCAGATAAAAAATGACCTTTGAATAACAGCTTTTGTAAATTCACTAACTACATTTTCTACTTAGTTGCATTGAGATAAACTGAGCCCGTTAAAAGAAGCAACTGCACCTATTTATCTACTCTATGGGAAGCATTCACATTCAAGCTGAGCACATTTGTGATAAAGTGTGGTGGCACAGAACAGCAGAATGTTAAATCAATGCATACACATTCACATTATACAGTTAATTTTAATTAGATATTGAAAAAAATGTGGAGAGAGGTCTAAAATACTTAGTGAACATGAACGTGTTACGAGCTATACTTGAGTCTTGACCTATTCCTTCTTATACAGGGTTCTTGTACATGCAGACTGATTTGTACTTAGTCTGTAACTGAGGCATAATCCCTAAACACACTGCTGCCAAACTCAATTACAAGGGCTCTGGTCTGGCTCGCAGGCGACAGTGGACCTGATACAGGTCATCAAAACCAAAGCTGCAGTCTTGGCTACAAATGGCCTTTATTTTTAGATAAAGAATGGTGAGTACAGTTAGTAAACCTGAAATACAACAAGCTGTTGTATTTCTGTGTTTTAACATCTGATTCATATGCAGCAGTGATGCTCAGGCTGCATCTTAACTACACAGTTTTAGACAGTACAAAAAGCTCATATGCTATGTAATATTCCCAGGACTATACGATGTAATAGCAAATGAATGCAATTGCGTCACACTGGTTTTGGAATTAAGGGGAGTGTTTGATATTATGCTATGCTGCCAAAGTGCAGAAATCACTGTATCTGCATTTCAACAGCAATGGATGAGAGCAATTCAGTTTGCTTTGTCTTCCCCCAGTCGCATTCCCAGTTTTTATGAACATGAGAATCCAGTAACTAAACACAGCGTCACTGTTGTTGCCAAGACCAAAACTTTTTTTCCAAGACAAAAACAATGGGCTGAGCAGCAGTCTTTATCCTTAAACGTAGAGGTCTTCCAAACCATATATCAAACCAATGTTGATTTCTGGGTCTATTATCACATTGTTAAGTTTTCTATTTTTATTTATGACTCCAGTGACTGAACCAAAACAATAGAGTAGTTGAATTTCTACCACTAAATGCAACAAGGGGACCTATTATGCTAATTTACAGCTCTATATTCTCCACTGGAGTAGCTTGCACGATTCACTCTCCAAAACATCCTAGTGCAGTCGTGTAAAGACGCAATTTTAAAAAAACGTCGTAACAATACTGATACAATTTCATACTTTATACAGCCTACAAAACATAAAGGTGTATTAAGGTCTCCACTTACAGCTGTGATCTGTAGTTAAAACCTCACGTTAGCTAACATATTTCAATCAGTGCCACACGGAGAGAGGTTTACAGAAAAAAAGGGCAGTTTGACTGATGCGTGTATACAAAAATCTGAAGAAAAATATCACATGGAATGTAAGTTGTCAATGGGACAAAGCTCACTTTTGACGTGTCACAGGGTCCGACTCCGTAGGGTGGATATAAGGGATCAAGATCTGCTCCAAGGTTTGCTTGTCAGACACCCTAAAAACAAGAAAGGGATTGTGAAGTAAAAACCAAATGTGAGAGAAAATATGTGAACGTCAACACCCAAATCAAATCAAGACAAGTCATGGTCATAATGGATAACATCACAGCTTTTACAATCCTGGACAAACTCATACAGATCTGAATGGTCACTCTTTCCAAGCTGATTGTGGACCTACAGCAACAAGGACTCCTTCGAACTGAAACAGCACTGATAATTAGCTTCAGTAAATAAAACACTGGTGCTTCAGCAGAAAGTTGTATGGGTATATTTAGGGATGCACAATGATATTATTCAATAAAGGCCTTAAAATGAAACACTGGCATCTGCAATTTCTTCCGATAGGACATGCTGAGAAGATGACGCTTGACTTATGCCGTTACCTTGGCTAAATGCTTGACGCTGTGTCGCCCAGTGCGAGGGTGCGCGAGCCAAAGATGATAATACCAGTATGTCAGCAGAGTGGAAGTTTCCAAAACGGATAGCAAAGTCATTCCTTGAACAATTCAAATTTAATTACCCATTTCAACGCTGTCATCCAGACCATTATGAAGAATTTGTGAACAACAGAGAGAAACCACCAGCATAAACACCCGTCAACAGCCTCTTCTCCAGTCAACCAAAGCCAAAAAATATGACCGCGACCACCCCGGGGCCAAAGGCATCAATCAGAAACTCGTGGAGAGTATTGCTCTGGACAACCAGCTGTTTTCGGTCGTTGAAGAGGTTGGGGTTTGTGGACTTGAGCCACGCTACAGGAGGCCCAGTAACAGGTATTATTCAAGTGTGGCCTTACCTGAGTTGCAAGTCCTCATCCTTACTTTGAATTAATTTATTCAGTTAATAGATTACTGAGTTCAAGCAATGGCCTGTAAAGCATATGCTGCCTACTAATTTAGGCTCATTTACTCAACAATGTGAAAAAGAGTACACTATATCTATCAATGTTCTTTCAGTTGGCCTTTAATTGCCGTACAGTTGTTGAATGTGTTCACATTATCCCTGTGGACAGAGATTAGATTTATGTACTTTTTATGCAACTTGTGAAATACGCCAAATTTAAAGTTGTAATGTCAATGCGGACATTTATTTATTTTCAGCATCTGCTAGAGGGCCATCACCATAAGAGCAGGCATAATAATATGTTAATACCACAACAAGAGAGACCGGATGTTCTCTGCAATTAGGATGAAAAAATATGTGCATATATCAGCATTGGCCAAAAGGAGCTGGAAAATATCAGCAAAAATCCAATTTTGTGCATCCTTAAGTATATTATTCAAGACATGTAATATTATTGTGTAACTCACCTCCTCTGGCTGAACTCTGTGTTGCTCTGAGGAAAGATGAGCTTCAGGTGCCACAGGAACAGTTTTTCTCTAAATGACACACAGAAAAAGCAATTTTTAGTTTCAGCTTATCAACAACAGTAGTGCTTGATGCCTGTTTTTCAACCCAGATGAGGTCACCGGTGCTCTCACAGTATTCCCTTCACAGAAAACACAAATGCTCTTGTTTAAATTCAGAGCATAAAATGGATTCAGCTCTAATCTGTCCAAGACAATACGCCTGGCTGCTTCCAAAATCTTGTCCATCTGTGTGACTGTGTGTGTGCGTGCGTAAATGAATAAACCAGAGTCACCATGGAGACCATGACATATACACTCAATACTAGGACACCAGCTGGTGGATATCAAATAATGATCACTTCTTCTGGGGTAATGCTTTGGGCAGTAACATTTAAAAGTGGTTGGGGTTTTTTTGGGGGAGTTGCTGGGCGTGCTCTACAACCAAACATTTATCCCATAAACAGCTGCTGTGTGCATATCTAGTAATGTCATCATGAAGCAGAAATAGCGCACAAGATGTAATATATCAAACAGTTTGGGAGATATCATTAACAAGATGTAATTCTGCCATTTATTTTACAGTAATGGATTAACTACTGGTAACTGTCTCAATGGTCATTTGGATTTGTTTCCAGTCTGTACACCATTATGACACATTAAAATACATTTATTATTACAGACAAAGATTCCTGTTATGAAGATAAAACCAAGAAAAACATAGCAAATATATTTTTTGCTGTCCCTGAGGAATATAATATCATCTACTGGCACAGCATCAATACGTTCTGCTCTCCAGAGTCATATACCCCACATACTGTGCTGAACCTAACTACAAGGACTTGCGTTGACCAAGACCACAGAATCTGCCATATATAGGGTGATTCATCAACCCATTCTCCATCAGAGAAGAGGGACGGAGGCCTTGATGGATCTAAAGGGATGAAGATGAAACATACAACGCAAAGCATAATTGTAAGGCACATGTGGGAGACCTTGTTATTAGGGCTTAGTAGTCACCAAGAGATATTCAGAGCACAACTTGAAGGTTTCTTTTGATATGCATAATATGAAGACTTTTGTATTTTTTTTTTTTTTTTTTACTTATCTAAAACCAAAGCTCTCCACAGTTACTGATTATCAGCCCATTCTGAGAATATGGCAGAACAATTTGTGGTTCCTTCAACAAAAAATTATTTGGATAATTTATTCATCATTTTAGCCATTTTTCAAGCAACAATGCAAAAAAAACATCTGGTTCCAGCATCTCAGCTGTGAGGACTTGTTGTTTTTCTGATTTATATAAGTGAAAATGACATATCTTTTGGTTTTGGACTGTTAATCAGACAAAACACATTTGAATCACCTTGGGCTCTGAGAAATGTTTTTCATTGTTGGATAAGAGTTGCAGCACTTGGACGGCTGACTGATTAGTTCCATTCACTGGTAAGTTGACCAAATTGCTGAATTTTTTGACATTTTTATGCATCAGATGACCTCTGCATTTAGTCAGTAGTGGTATTCTATGTAGCCAGCTTTAATTAACGTTCAGTGTAAACTAGTTAGATTCTAATTGCTGTTGGCTAACATAAGCAACACTTTGCTACCTACCACAACAGACATTAGTGCTTGGCTGCAGAGAGCAAGGTATGAATACCTAATCCAAGACCAGGTTTAAGTCCTTTTCTTGCCTAATAGCATTGTAGGCTATGCCTTAGGAAAGAGATTGCTAGTGGAAGAATGCAATGGCTATTTTGAACACTGGTATGTCTTTCCTGGCCTGCTTTCTGCCACAAGAAAAATATTAATGCATACATATTGTAAATGTATTCTACGTTCTGGGAACAGTCCCGCTTCCCTCTGAAATTAAACAGAGAGAAACTGGTGCTGCCTCTCCGTCACTACCCAGAAATTATTATTACAGCTATTATATATATACTGAATGTAAGTGTTGACAACGTAGTAATCAACGCATATTATGCCTTAATATTTACTGAAAACTGCTGCAAATATAGTGGTTGCTGCCGACTGGTTGACAGCGTAGACTTATTTAGAACTATCGAGACCTACATGAATCACGTGTAGCGGCTCTTTTATTCAAAAGGCGCTGGTCAGCACAACACCAAAGTCATTACAATTTATCCTCTGAGGACCATTAATGTCAGCATTAAATTTCATGGCAATCTATCAAACAACTGTGTAGATATTTGACTCTGGGCACAAGTACTTGATGGCCAGACTGATGGACAAACCATAATTTAATGCAGCTATATCAATGCTAAGAATGGGTCACATCGAAGGAGATTGAGGTGAGCATAATGGTAAATATGAAAAGAAATGTGTATTTTACATCAAATGTATATGTTAATTTTAATATGTACTTGCAGAATAAACAGCACAGCAAGCATGTAACATTTTTTTTGTTCCATTGTATTGACAAAGACAGGTTCAACATTTAGTCTGTTAGTAGGGTTATTTTTGTACCATTGTTGTTAACGGGTATTAGCAGGACATAAGACAATAAAAACAGGTCAAATATATATATAAGCAATGCAACAATATAAAGTGCATATTCTGAGAAACTCCATAATCACTGGCAATGAGCTACTCGACTCTACCCCTTGTGTCTTTTGACAGGCATTGTTATGGTGCTTGTGAGGTTGTTTTGCAGATCCAGGTGGTAGCATTATATAACAGGGGGCATATTTTTTCCTTGAAAACAGAAACAGGACCTGCAGGGGGAGTTCAAAAGCGAAGAAGTATGTGCAGAACTGGCAGAACACCCAATGAAAGATGGTTATGAGTTTCCACTTGGCTATAAGCAGAAGGTGAAGGAGTGAAGCTGTGGGTAGTGAAAGCAGCAGCAGGCATGTTGGATTTGAAGACAAGGGGCTGGGAGGGGATTCCCTATGCAACTGTAGGAGGTACCTAACACCTCTAACCCCTGAGTCAGAGGAATTTATGTGTTGGCTCAGTTTCTTATTTGGTGCATCAGTGTGTGCCTGTGTATACGTGTGCAGGTGTGTATGTGTTTGTACGTGCAAGCAAATGAGGGTGGAGCACCAGGTGTGATGCCATTATTCTGTCATTACAGCAAATGGAAACTATGTCTTTCAATGGAAAAGGGGCTTGCCCAAAGATCCATGCAATCATTTCAGGCAAGGCCACGGTGCATACCTGGGATAAGTGCCATCATTCATTGTCAGGAAAAAACGAAGAGAGAGCAGTATAAGAAAGTCAAAACAGAAGGACCAACAGTGGAGGACAACTGCTTTGAATACCAGAACCTGCTGAAAAATATCACACTGCCTAGCCTTCAACAGTTATTGCTGTAGGGCCTTGAGCAAGGCCATTAAACTCTAAAGGAGAGTGGTGGCAAACAGTGAAAAGCTAGCTTTGCAAAGTAGTCCCCATGTGTAACAAGAGGTGCAATTCCTCCTGAAAACATGTCTGTTTACAAAGATTAAGTGCTGAAAAGTTTATAACCTCAACAGAATTCCATGCAATAAGCTACCCACTGCCATACATGGCCCGCATTAAAAGGGATTTCTTCACAAAGAGGGATTATTCATCAAACAGTACTAAAAAACTAAAACCAACCAAGTAAAATAGAATTGACACATGGTCAGAATAGAGTGGGCAAAAGAGTAAACATGTTTCATTAATACAGTACTGTACAAGTGATTACCTGCTTGTTTCTAGGTAGGAAAATGATTTCTACAAATCTCCCAGTTAATGAATAAGCTACTGAGTGGGTATCAATCTGTAACTGCATGTGTGGTTTTTTTTGCATATATGAGGAAGAATACTCTCCAGAGTCTACATTTTCTCAGGGTAGCCAGGACAGGACTCTTGTAGTGACACTGTGAAAGTCCTGATTCCATTTCTCTTTATTTATCAGTGTCCTGGGGTTTCAAATTATGTTCAGCGTTATGAGTTGCACAGAAGGAATGGAAGCGGTCATCTCTTTTTGCTTCCCAAAAGGTTGCTGTTTCCTCTTTTTTTAAATGGCAGCAGAACAATCGTATTTTGTTACACAATATTTATACAATAAAAATAGCTAAAATCACAGTCTGGACTCCTTATGAAAACTTAAAACCATTAAAGCAGACCCTATAAAAAGACCCCACTTTTAGGAAAAAAGGCCTGTTACTGTATTTGTAAAAGTAAAAGCTACAATATTTTAGTTAATGAATGCACGGATTGTTTTTAATACTCAAGCTAGTTTTTTGTATTTTACATTAAACTAGAAACACCACCCTGTGGTTAAATGGCTCCACCAGGTAGTCAAGTTGCAGTTTAAATCTGTCTGTCCAGATATATATGTGGTGAAGAATTAAAAACAATTAAATAAAAAGGTATAAAGTTTTTTGGCTCAAAGGAAGTAATCACTATATTGATCCCAGTGAATATATATTACAAATGCCCTTGATTACTATGTAAAGATGAATTGTTATAGAGTACAGCTACACAAAATGTGGTGCTTTTATTTTCTCCTGGCATTTTTACCTGTGATGCATTACATTCAGAGGCAGTAAGTAAAAGGCAAAATGGATAAGATGGAAAGATGAAAGATCATATTGTTCTAGTTATTGTTTACTCATTGTGTTGTTCCAGTCAACATAATTCTTAAATTATGGCTAAAAACCTATTTTGAGGTCACAATGACCTTTGACTATTGAGTCAACAAAAATATGTCACATCATTTTAAGGTCACAGTGACCTTTGAGTCAAAAATATCACTGACTCATTGACCAAAATTAATCAGTTTATCCTCAAGTCCAAGTGGTCGTTTGTGCCAAATTTAAAGAAATTCCCTCGAGGACTTCCTAAGATATTGAATTCACAAGAATGGAACGGACGGACAACTGCCCCAACAGCCAGAGCAATCGCCAGTGCGGAAATTTGCCATCTTTGCCCTGGAGAGCTTTATAAATACAAATCCTGATGTCTAGGCTTCGGTGAGTTCTATCTTTGTTCTGCTCTTCACAAACCTGACTACAAAACTATATCTGTACAAAGGGTGTCATTTT